TCAACTCCATCTATTGTCGTGATATATTCGTGACTTTTACCACGCTCTTCTTTTTTCATTGTTGCTTCTGTGGGCAGTTTACAATTAGGAAGTCTATTCCTTCGGACTGTTCCCAACGAAAAAATTCCTTCCTTCGCCAAATGAACCATGAGTGGAATGGCGGTATAAAAATTGTCATGATACAGACGATAGTTCTGTTTTCGAGGTATTATTCGGGACAAACGCAAAACTATGTTCGATGTTGCTCCAAGATCAGGTTCAGCTTCTGGTCTAGCCATATTGTTCTCATTTCCCGTGTAAATTTCAAAGTTGTAGGCAAATCCGGAAACTCCAGCTAAAACAAACAATTTGAATCCCCATTTGTGAGGTTTCATCGGCATGTATTGCTTCATATAATGCCTAACTTTTGTTGAGCACATTTGCTCATCAATAGATAGTTCTTTTTCCAAGGGAATGCTTTTGAATTTAAATAGCAGATGATCTATAACCGGTCTCAATTTGTGTAATCTGTCATGTCCTGGTTGATCTCTTGGCACAAATGTGGTGTTATCATTGAAATGCATGTTTTGTCGCAATTTTTCGAACTTGTTTACTGGCATTATTTCTTTGATTTGGGGAAATCCCAGGTCATCACTCCAATATGATCTTATATTGGGGGCATGTACAAGTGACATATACAAAACAATTGCGATATATTGTTTTATATCAGAAGCGCAATATATATTTTGTTTTTCCGGATTGTTTTGAACACTATATAAATTTGTTTGCTGGACAATATTCATTATTAGGTCTTCAGAAAAAAAATAGCTGAAGAATTGATACGGCGTTTCCAAATTGAGTAATTCACCTTCAATATCCGAATATCCATGAAAATGTAACTGAGCTTCATTTAATTGCAGATGCTTTTTCTTCCAAATAATATTTTTTTTCACTTGGCTTTGAGTTTGAAAAACGGCATGAGAACAGGACGGCAAGTCTTCATTATCAGTCCGAGAAGCCGTTGGAGATGGAGATGGAGATGGATCCGTTTCATCTTCATTATCAAAATCTTGCAAAACATTTGGTACAAAATCAGGGTCTTCCAAACTGTCATCATCAAAAGCGTTTTCCTCATCTTCACTTTCTTCACTATTATATTCCATCAAATATTGCGCCAACTCTTCTACTGATTTGAACGGCTTATTCATGTTGCAAATATTTTAGTTTCTCTGTAAGAGAGAGCTAAAACGACAGATCAAACAGAAACTAACTTTGATAAAATTGGTTTTCTTATTCGCACAATGTAGCCAATTGGCATCAAAGCTTTTTATAGCGATTTGATCGTTATAAAAAATATTATGATATTATCAACCGTTTATTGCACAAATACTTACCCTTTTTAAAGTCAACCAGAAATAAATTAACCCAAAACTTTTTATTTAATTGTAAAAAAAATCACGAGTATATGTACACACTTCAAGAGTTCTAGAAAAGTGAATGCTTGCTCTAAAAAACGCGAAAAATTACTTACATTAGGCAAAAACCACGAGTAAATGTACGAAATCATATAAGCAGTGCGTAGCCAAATGGCAACACGAGGAATTCAACTGTTATCTCTTGTGAAAGCAATAATTAAACCGTTCTAAAGAGTTTGTTGCCAAATGGCAACAAAATGCATTTAAGGGTTAAATTTTAGATTTTATTATTATAATAATTTTTTCTTCTTTTCTTTCTATTTTTTTAACAAAGTTTCTATTAATTTTTAGATTTTTTTCTTAAAAAGAAATTATAATTTTGATTTATTTAATTTTTAGAAAGTTAATTTTTTTTCTTTTTCTAATTTAATATTCTTTTAGTTTTTAGATTTTTGTTTGGTTCTAAAGAGAAACACATTTTTTTATCATTTAATTTTTAGGAACTTATTTTAATTAATAAAATTTGTAATAAAGTTTTATTTTAATTTTTAGTTCTATTGTTTAAAAAAGAAGAACATAAGTTTATTTTTTAAGCTTAATTTAATTTCTATAAAACATTTTGCTAAAAGAAAAACACGAAAACCCTTCCCGTTGGCAGGTCTTTCAATAAGTCTTTCGGAAGACAGAAAAGAGCTTTCAAGATAGTTGCCAAAATTCACAATTGTCTTATTTTTGTCTTTCGAAAGACTGTGGTGAGTTGAAAGACAGTTGCCAGAATCGCCCTATTTTTCATAGTGTATCTCCGTGATGTGGTGTAGTGGTAAGCAGTGCGCGCTTCCACTCCGCAATGCCTGGGTTCAAACCCTGGTCAAATAAACATCGCAAAAAATGTAGAAAAAAGGTTTTTTCTTAACAGCGGTCGTCCCTCGGCAGGCAATGGCAAACCTCCGAGTGTATTTCTGCCATGAAAGACAGCTTCTCAAAAAAAATGCAATCGCCGTTCGGAGTCGGCGTAAAACTGTAGGTCCCTCCGCTTTG